AGAAAGCTTTTACGAAGATTTAGCTAATGTCCTAAAATCCACTAAAACACGAGATGTAACGATCATAATAAGAGATTTTATTGCTAAGATGAAGAAGAGATAATTAATGAGTGCACAAGTGTCTATGGATTGTGAGCTAAGAACGAAAGAGGTACTATAGACAGACTTGTTCAATTATGCCAAAACAACAATTTTGTAGTAGCAAATACATTGTTGAATTTACACAAAGGTAGACTTTGCAGCCTCAGATCGTCAGCAGCTATGTGTGGATTAGACAAACATACAGAAATGCAATCATTTCGGCAAAAACATATCCAGGTGTCATAAACACAGTCCAGAAATGAAAATAACGAGAGGAGTGAGACAAGGATGTGTTATGTCCCCCCTCCTCTTCAACGTATACAGTGAATCAATTTTTGAAGAGGCACTACTACCTGAAAATGAGGGAATAATAATAAACGCAAAAGTTATACTCAATATAAAATTTGCGTATGACACAGCGATTATAGAACAGAACTAGTACATTTTATGAAGAGTGTGGACCAAAACTGCATAACAAGTATTTATTACATTGAAAAGGTTGAAAAATACAGATACCTGGGCACCTGAATTACAGAAAACAACGACCAATCAGCAGAAATAAGAAATAGACAAGAAACAGCAAGAAATACGTTTGTGAAACTGAAAACAATCCTCTGTTCCACATACCTCATAACAGAACTGAGAGCGAGAACATTAAAATGCTATAGATAAAGCTTAAATTAATTAGCAAGGAAAGATCAAGGGCCGAAGGAGCATTGGCAGCAGAAGAATGTTATAGTAGAGAAATTTGAGGGAATGGTTTAATTGTAGCTCAATAGAACTTATCAGAAGAGCGGCAAAAAAGGGAGAATAACAGTATACCATATACTACAATACAATACAATAACAGTAATAAGAAGATTCTAAGAGAACAGACAACTCAACAGGCCAGCAATACGTGCTAAAGAAATGTCAAAACCAAGTTCATAGTCTGAGGCCTACGACCCCGAATATTTCCAGTTTTAATACCGACGCCCAGTTAGGCAAGTTTTTGTAGGCCCCTGAAGAGTGGATTCAATTGTTGGAAAGCTACTGCAACTAAGCTGGTGATATATCTCACTTAAAATATTTATTAAGTCATATCATACTTTTTTTCTGCTGATAAAGGAACATTTATCATTCTATTCGCAAAATTTCTTATTTTTCGGAGAGTCTATTTACGTTGTTTGAGAAAGATAGTTTTGCCTAAACCTACGGAAATGTTTGCAAAGAAACATTGACTGCTCAATTTATGGAAAAAACATTTTATAATACAACAATATATATACAATTTAGAATGTAGTGATTTTCTCAAACTGACTCTCACTCGCCTTTACATTTAACTTTGAGCTTTTCCTGGAAAGCTTTCAGATATTCAGTAAGATGATTCTAAAACAAAAGAGCAGTTTATTTGATTTTTAACTCTCTGTAAATTTCTATTCGCTATAAAACAAATGTTGTTGAATGACAGATCAACAAATGAATAAAAATCAGAATCCGACGTTTTCAACACAAAAAATAGATAAAACATTAGAATTCATCCATCATTTGGCGAGATTTATCTCAAGATGCATTTGTACTATTTGCAATGTCACACTTGTGTCTGCACTCCAACGAGCATAATATTAAACTGCTGTTATCAGATTGAATCCTGAATAGTCTAGAAAGCCCATTTATCAGATGTCACTTAGCTGGTTAATGCTTTCAATATCATTTGCATTGGAAGTGAACTGAAATGCCATTTGTCCCACTCTACTTCAGAATAGCACATTTATGAAATATATCCCCTGAGAAGCAACACCTATTCTAATATAATCACATTGTACTTTTAATTACTGATTGGACTTAACGAAATATGTAATGAACTGCGATGGCGCTCCCTATCACGTAGTCTAAATGGTATACCACGGTTATCTAAGAATTTGTTCATGAATTTGTCCATGAGTTGGTTTATACATACAGGTATCTGAACAGTTTTCAGGAAAAATCCAATAGTTGGTTTGGTTTCTCTAAAACTTTTTTGGCGGTAAGCAAATAGCAAAAGTATTTATCCAAAGTTTCCCCATGTAATCAACAGAGATTCTCCTTTTCAATGAATAGGGCATTATTCAAGCAGCGGCGGAACTTGGACTTTCGTCTCTTGTATCGTAATATACTAATTTATGGCCGCAATTGGAAGAACTTGATGTGGACGACATTTATTTTCAGCAAGACGGCGCAACGTACCACACAAGCAACTAAACAATCGCAATCTTGCAAGAAAAGTTTTCTGCCCCTTTTATTTCTCGAAGAGGTGATCACTATCAGCCACCGAGATCTTGTGACCTTTAGGGTTTTTTCTTTGGTTCCTCGTGAAAGATAAGGTCTATGCTAATGTTCCACAATCGATTCAAAACCTTAAAGAAGGAGTTCGTAAAGTTATCGAGAACATACTGCCGCAGGGTTCATGGGAGAGGCCAGCAACCTACGCACGGTCAAAAGAAACTTATGCTCATAGAACCAACAACTTAGCCTCGGATAGGACTGATTATTTTGATGACGACACGGCGAGAACAAGGAAACGAATAAGAAAACCCAAACCCCTTAGAGTGGCGACTTGGAATGTAACCTCCTTCAACAACAAACATCAAGAAATAATAATGGAACTGGAAAATAAAGGAATCGATATCTGTGCTATAGCAGAAACGAAAAAGAAAGGCAAGGGCAGCACCAGGTATGGAAACTACATTCTCATATACAGCGGAAGAGAAAAGAATGAAAGAGCAACGCCGGGAGTAGGCATATTGATGAATGGAAAGTGGGAAAACAACATAAGCGGCATAAACTACGTCAACGACAGACTGCTGCAACTAACAGTTAAACTTCAGAAGAGCAAAACAAGTCATATAATCAGTATTTACGCGCCTGACATCAACAAACCCCGGGTAGAGATAGACACTTTTTACCAGAACTTGCAGAGAACTCTCGACGGTATTCCAAATCAAGATGAAGTAATTATCCTGGGAGATCTTAATGCAAGGATTGGCAATGAAACAATAGTGGGGATCAAAAACCGATTTAATCATGAAACAATCAACGACAGCGGTGAACAACTTATACAGATATGCGCCCTTAACGAACTGCGAATTAACAACACATTTTTTCAACATAAACCGCAACATAAATTCACATTTGAAAACACACGAGGACGCAAGACCATAATAGATTATATAATAACAAACAGAAACATTCACCCCTCCCAAGTGCTGGTCGTAAGAGCTTTAAGTTCCGCAAATGCTGTTATTAATCACAATCTCGTAATGGCAAAAATAAGAGTCACGACATACCAAATAAAGAAAAAACAGAACGAAACAACCAGTAAACTCAATATGGAGGCACTAGCAAATTATTCTACGAAACATCTATAACAACAAAGGCTAAAACAGAAGATTGCAAATAATGGGATAAAAAATAACGACGACGTGGAAATGGCATGGGATAAATTACGCACAAATCTACTAAATGCAGCCGAAGAAGCACTTGGAAGAAGAACTAAAACCAGAACCGGAAAACGAAACACTAAACCTTGGTTTAAACAAGAGGTAAAGGACTTAGCAGCTGAAAAACGAATAGCGTACCTGCAATACCGATCGAACACAATTACGTACGAGGTATATAAAGCGGTCAGAAACCGGGTCAATGCAGAAATCCAGTCAATTAAACGACAGGATTGGGAAAAATTCTCTGCCGATATGGAACACGACCTATATGGAGGACAGAAAAGAATCTGGAATATGCTAAGAAATAGAAAAAGACCACTTAACGAATATATCCAAATTTCAAAGATCATCTACTGAAGACTGGGAAAAACACTTTGAACAACTCTACCGTAATAAAGAGGAAAACACGGAGACCAAGGAGACACCCACAAATGAAGAAACACCACCAACTTGGCAGATACC